CAACCAGAGCCTCAAACCTCACACAGAATCTAAAAAAAACCCTCAAACCTCAACCAGAGCCTCAAACCTCACACAGAATCTAAAAAAAACCTCAAACCTGAACCAGAGCCTCAAACCTCACACAGAATCTAAAAAAAACCCTCAAACCTCAACCAGAGCCTCAAACCTCACACAGAATCTACAAAAACATCTCAAACCTGAACCAGAGCCTCAAACCTCACACAGAATCTCAAAAGGAACCTTAAATCTGAAACAGAGCCTCGAACCTCAAACAGAATCTAAAAAAACCCTCAAACCTGAACCAGAGCCTCAAACCTCAAACAGAATCTAAAAAAACCCTCAAACCTGAACCAGAGCCTCAAACCTCACACAGAATCTAAAAAAAACCTCAAACCTCAACCAGAGCCTCAAACCTCACACAGAATCTAAAAAAAAACCCTCAAACCTCAACCAGAGCCTCAAACCTCACACAGAATCTCAAAGGGAACCTTAAATCTGAACCAGAGCCTCAAACCTCACACAGAATCTAAAAAACGCCTCAAACCTGAACCAGAGCCTCAAACCTCAAACAGAATCTAAAAAACCCCTCAAACCTCAACCAGAGCCTCAAACCTCACACAGAATCTACAAAAACCCTCAAACCTCAACCAGAGCCTCAAACCTTACACAGAATCTACAAAAACGCCTCAAACCTCAACCAGAGACTCAAACCTCACACAGAATCTACAAAAACGCCTCAAACCTCAACCAGAGACTCAAACCTCACACAGAATCTCAAAAAGAACCTCAAACCTCAACCAGAGCCTCAAACCTCACACAGAATCTAAAAAAACCCTCAAACCTCAACCAGAGCCTCAAACCTCACACAGAATCTTAAAAAAAGCCCTCAAACCTGAATCAGAGCCTCAAACCTCACACAGAATCTAAAAAAAACCCTCAAACCTCAACCAGAGCCTCAAACCTCACACAGAATCTAAAAAAACCCTCAAACCTGAACCAGAGCCTCAAACCTCACAAAGAATCTAAAAAAAACCCTCAAACCTCAACCAGAGCCTCAAACCTCACACAGAATCTACAAAAAACCCTCAAACCTGAACCAGAGCCTCAAACCTCACACAGAATCTAAAAAAACCTCAAACCTCAACCAGAGCCTCAAACCTCACACAGAATCTACAAAAACATCTCAAACCTCAACCAGAGCCTCAAACCTCACACAGAATCTCAAAACCAGAGCCTCAAACCTTACACAGAATCTAAAAAAACCTCAAACCTGAACCAGAGCCTCAAACCTCACACAGAATCTAAAAAAAACCTCAAACCTGAACCACAGCCTCAAACCTCACACAGAATCTACAAAAACATCTCAAACCTGAACCAGAGCCTCAAACCTCACACAGAATCTCAAAACCAGAGCCTCAAATCTCACACAGAACCTCAAAAAGAACCTCAAACCTGAACCAGTTTCAAACTACATCCAGAACCTGAAAATGTAGCAAGAACTTTGAATCTCACCCAGAACCTCAAACCTGTACCAGAACCTCAAACTTCAAAAAGAGCCTCATATCTGAACCAGAATCTCAAATCTGTGCCAGAGCACAGAATCTCATCCAGACCCTGAAACATGTACCAAAATCTCAAACCTCAACCAGAACCTCAAACCTCAACCAGACTCACAATACTGAACCTGACCCATCTTGAACCAGAACCTCAACGCTCAGCCTCAGACCAAACCACTCTTCAGTCTCCTCAGAGGCCGAGGGAGAGACAGGAAGATGGAGAGACAGACTTACGCCTAAAGCAAGCGAAAATCTGCTCAGTCACACCACCCACTACTTCACACACACACACACATTAGACACACAACGCTCTACTATAAAAAAATAAAACAGAGGCCGCCATCAGAGCCTTTCACACATAATAGAGGACTATTTCACTGAGAGAGAGAGAGAGAGAGAGAGAGAGAGAGATGTATGAGAGCTGGAAGGGAATCCCCCTCTTTCATCTTTCTGAATGAATGGAGAACCGTAACTGTATGTTGTGTTCCAAGTGCATTAAGCCTGATATCACTGTTCCTTTCTTCTGCTCTGGATGATGTTATAGATGCTGATACTGTTCCAGGGCTGGAAATATTAGAACTGCACTGTCACTGTTACAGAGGAAACATTGCTGTTTTATGGTACCACTTCTGTTCTAGAGCCGGAGACACAGGTGCTACTGTAGATAAGATCTACAGTAACTGTTCTGTTTCTTTCCTAAAACGGTTCTTCATATTGGGAGATGATGTAACTGCACTGTTACTCCTGTAAACCCAGAGCTACTGTTAGCGCACTGTTACAGTTTTAGAGGCTGGAGCACTGTAACTGTTACGTTCTAGAGTTAGAGGTACTGGTACCGTCACTGTTCTAGAGTCAGTGGTACAGTTAGCACAGCGTTAGCACTGTTAGTCTTGTACAATCTGAGATACAGTTAGTGTTACTGCCCAATACACACTGCCCAACACACACTGCCCAGCAAATACTACCCAACACACACTGCCCAATGTGCCTTGCCCAATGCACACTACCCAACACACACTACCCAACAAATACTACCCAACAAAGACTGCCCAAACACACTGCCAAACAAACACTACCCAGCACACACTGCCCAACAAACACTACCCAACACACTCACACTTATCAGCACAAACTGCCCAACACACACACGTCCCAACACACTACCCAACGCACACTACCCAACAAATACTACCCAACAAAGACTGCCCAAACACACTGCCAAACAAACACTGCCCAGCAAATACTACCCAACACACACTGCCCAATGTGCCTTGCCCAATGCACACTACCCAACACACACTACCCAACAAATACTACCCAACAAAGACTGCCCAAACACACTGCCAAACAAACACTACCCAGCACACACTGCCCAACAAACACTACCCAACACACTCACACTTATCAGCACAAACTGCCCAACACACACACGTCCCAACACACTACCCAACGCACACTACCCAACAAAGACTGCCCAAACACACTGCCAAACAAACACTACCCAGCACACACTGCCCAACAAACACTACCCAACACACTCACACTTATCAGCACAAACTGCCCAACACACACACGTCCCAACACACTACCCAACGCACACTACCCAACAAATACTACCCAACAAAGACTGCCCAAACACACTGCCAAACAAACACTACCCAGCACACACTGCCCAACAAACACTACCCAACACACCCACACTTATCAGCACAAACTGCCCAACACACACACTTCCCAACACACTACCCAACGCACACTACCCAATACACTCACATTTCCCAACACACACCACCCAGCACACACTGCCCAACACATACTACACATCCTACCAAACACACACTACCTAACACATACTGCACATATTGCCAAACACACACTGCCCAGCACACACTACACATACTACCAAACACACACTGTCCAACACACACTACCCAACACACACTTCACATACTACCAAACATAGTATATGTTGGGAAATGTGTGTTGGGCAGTTTTTGATCAAATGTATTTTAATACAAAACCAAACATATACTGCCCAACACACACTACAGATACTACCAAACATACACTGTCCAACACGCACTGCCCAACACACACTTCACATACTACTAACCATACACTGCCCAACACACACTTCCCAACACATACTACATATACTACCAAACACATACTGCCAACACATACTACACATACTGCCAAACACACACTGCCCAACACGCACTACACATAGTATCAAACACACTGTCCAACACACGCTGCCCAAAACACACTTCACATGCTACCACACATACACTGCCCAACACTCACTACACTTACTACCATACACACAATGCCCATCACATACTGCCCAACATACAGTGCCCAACACACAGTACCCAACACACACTGTCCAACACATACTTCACATGCTACCACACATACACTGTCCAACACACACTGCCCAAGACACACTTCACATACTACTAACCATACAATGCCCAACACCCACTTCACATACTACTAAACACACGATGCCCATCACATACTGCCCAACACACACTTCCCAACACGTACTACATATACTACCAAACACATACTGCCCAACACATACTACACATACTGACAAACACACTGTCCAACACGCACTACACATAGTATCAAACACACTGTCCAACACACGCTGCCCAAAACACACTTCACATGCTACCACACATACACTGCCCAACACTCACTACACTTACTACTATACACACAATGCCCATCACATACTGCCCAACACACAGTACCCAACCCATACTATCCAACACACACTGCCCAACAAATACAACCCAACACAAAGTGCCCAACATACACTGCCTAACACAGTGCCCAACACATACTACCCAAAACACTGCTCAACAGATACTACCAAACACACACTACCTGATGTACCTTGCCCAACGTACACTGCCTAACACATCCTATCCAAGAAACACACTAACACAATGCCTAAAACACACTACCCAACACATTATGTAACATACACTCTCCATTTACACCATCCCAAATAAGTACCCAACACTTACTGCCCAACACACACAAACCAAGACACACTGCCCAGCACACACTGACCACCACACAGTATCAAACACACCCTCTCCAACACACCCTGTCCAACACACCCTGTCCAACACACCCTGTCCAACACACCCTGTCCAACACACACAGGCCAACACACCCTGCCCAACACACACAGGCCAACACACCCTGCCCAACACACACAGGCCAACACACCCTGCCCAACAATGAAAAGCTAAACCTGAACACACTGAGTCTCTGATTATCTGCACTCTGCAGAGACATTCAGAAACAAGGTGTCAGATACACTTCCAGTCGGATCGATTGATCTCTGACAGCCCACACACGCACCGCACACACTCCGCCCCCGGGTCTGCTGATGAGAGATGATTGACAGCTGTCACTCACAGGCGTTGGTGACGGCAAAGCTGTTGGCGGTCTCGATGTTGTCGACGTGCGGGACGAGGTTAAAGGGTGCCTCCGTGGCGTTGGGGCTGGTGTTGTGCAGGAATATGGCCAAGCGGAACGCAGTGTACTCCTGATCAGTGTTTCTGATGAACAACCCACCTACACACACACACACACACACACACACACACAGAAGGAGAGACACCAAAAAAAGATGTCAGTCACTCAACTCATCTTAAAACTCTACTTCAAACTTCAAAATTAAAAAAATATATTATTTGAGTAAAATTAAGACAAACAGCTAATCCTAACAAACAGTTCAGATATTTTTAATCTCACACAAACTTCAGATCAGCCTCCACTCTCCTGTGTCATTTAGACTAAAGTGATCCTGTAACACCAGACATGCTGAGAGCTTCTTTTGTCAAGACTTCTGTTGATGCAGCTCATTTTATTCATGTGTAACTGCCTTTAATTATGCAAATGTAAACCACCATTTGTGCTCAGGTTTTTAATTAATAAAAAATGGTCTATGCTGCTGAAACTAATCAATCACTCTATCAGCCTACAAGAAGAACTAAACAGCTGAGTGCTGTTTCAGGACAGATTTGTTACAGTAGGGGAGAACTATGGAGAAATCAACAAGCAGCAAACTAACAAAAGCAGCAGCTTGGTGGAGCTCCTCGAGAACCTTCATTGATACAAGAACCCACCAGCTGAATGAACGAGAGCAAGAGATAAAATCTCGGAGCAGCTGAACCACTGACTGTATATACACTCTCAGAAATAAAGGTACTAAACTGTCGCTGGGTCAGTGCCCCGCTTGACACTGGGGTGGAACCCTCAAGGGTTCATCTCAGTACCTTTAGTCAGGGAACATAACTGTACCATAATCCACTGAAATGATATGTTCTAAGCTGTACTGACTCCACACACCCCGTCTCGTCTCCAGGACTTTTATTTTACTGTTCTGTTTTAAAACATTCGGTTATGAAAAGGAACAAATACGAACTTTTCACCTGGAAAAACGTATTTAAGGTGCACAGTTGGACCTTAAAACCACTGTTGTACCTTTGAGGGAACATTTACAGTGTTTGTACCTTGACGAACAAAAATTGTACCTGCACAGAACCTTTATTACTAACAGTGTAGATGACATATACACTCATTCACTGTGTGTATGATATAGATTATATAAACACTCATTGACTGCATATGATATATACACTCATTGGTTGGAACATACTCTCATTGAATTTTGATGATGAAAAGTGGGAACTGTGTTGACTCTGTGGAATCACGTTCAGGTTCAGCATTCAAAACAATATTATTGAATTATTGAAGGTAATAAACACATTAGCATTAATTGTTGTAATCACTTAACAGCCCTACAGCACTGTGTGAAAGTCCGAGACCCTCGTATATTCAATTTACAGTTGAAACAGCCATAAAGTACACGTTATTGATGTTTCCGTGTCAGGAAAACAGCTGAAAACACACACTTAACAGGACATTACCCAGAATCCTCAGCAGCTAACTCTAATCTCAGCTGTGTGAGTGTTCAGTGAGTCACACCCTTCATTCCAGCTTCCATTCTTTTCAGGAGCCTCACTTTCAGCTCCTCAAAGAATCTGCAGACACACCTCCAATGTTCAGTCTTAGAAGCTGGTTGATCATTTTCTGAAGTAATCAAACACATTCAGTGTTGTTGAGGTCTGGACTCTGGGGTGGTCAGTCCATCGTTCAGCTTCTTTGTTTGATTTGTCTGTCTCCTTTTCTCAGTGAGGCTCTTCTTGATCAGCTACACATCCTTTCAGACCCATAGCGCTGAGTTGTCTTCTCTCAGTGGAAGGATGGACAGAAACACCTGTGGATGTTTTCAGATCTGAAGCAGCTTGATTTTCTCCTCTCTCTCAGAGATGAAAGCTTTAAGTGCTGTTTATCTGATGGGGGCAGTGTTGGGGTCGACCAGCTCTTCCAGGTGGTTGTTAGGAGACACATTTTCTCTGGAGCTCTAATCATTATACAGATTATCCTATATCTGATCTCCTCCATGAGGAGCTTGTATCTTGTGTTTTGACTGGAAATGAAATCAGTTATATATATATATATATACATATATATATATATATATATATATATATATATATATATATATATATATAATTTTGGCTTTCACACTGTCTGTATTGCTCTGTGTAGCGTATTGAGCACATTAACTTTCCAGGCAGCGCTCGCACTCCATCTCAGCGAGCGATGCGGAGCGTCCCGCTACACACAGGGAACAGAGTGTGTGTGTGTGTGTGTGTGTGTGTGTGTGTGTGTGTGAGACTGCAGATGTGTGATCTGGTTGGTGACACATTAATGAAACTCATTTATGCTGACGCTGCTATAATAATACTATTATTATTAGCACAATAACGACAGTTAGCTTCTTTGTAATTAGCATAGCATAATTATTTTATTATTGTGAAGGGTGTGTGTGTGTGTGTGTGTGTCTGGAATAGCAGTACTGAACCGGTTAGTCTCTCACACACACACCCACACACACACTGTAAATACTCTTCTGTAAAATCTTATTCCGATTTGCATATAATTAGCATAATACTAACACCCCTTAATTAGTGGCCATGAGCGTTTTTATCACCGTTATTACAGTCCTGACTGTTGAGCTGTCCTAACCTGACCATGCTGAACTGAACGGACAGATACGGAGAGAGTGTGTGCGCGCGCGCGCGCGCGTGCGCCCGTGTGTGCTGCAGTGGCGCTCTGAACAAAGCGCGCGCTGAAACATTGATGAGCTTCCAACCACATGCACGTTCACCATAACAAACAAAACCAACGGCGCCGGAGCGTAAAAGCGCATGCAGATATTAGAGAGGGGCACGCGGGCACGTGCGGGCGTGTGTGCGCGTGTCTGCTGTGTTACTCACCTATCTGGACGCTGCTGGGGAAAGCCCCCTCCGCGAGCCCCCACAGCAGCGGCAACACGACGATCCGCATCGCAGCTTCGGCTCACACACTCACATCCAGCGCGCGAGGAGGCATGGAGGAGCGGGAGGCGCGCGCGCGGTGCGGGAGAGGATAAAACACACGCGCGCAGAGAAAGAGAGAGAGAGAGAGAGAGAGAAACAGAGAGAGAGAGAGAGAGAGAGACAGAGAGAGAGAGAGATTAGGGGCGCATGCTGCAGACAGTGCGCCGCGCTCGCGCTCTGCACAGCTCACGAGCGAGACAGCAGCTCAGTACTGAACTGAGAGAGAGAAAGGGAGAGAGAGAGAGAGAGAGAGAGAGAGCACGCGCATGTCTGTTCCCCCTCTCTCTCCCTCTCTCTCTCTCTCTCTCTTTCTCAGTTCACAGTTCATTGACTTTTATTTCTGGCTGCTTTATTATTTATATGTATATAATTTACACCCACCAGACTCACACATTAAGCCCACCTCACTGTCCACTTTCTCAGCTCCACTGACCGTATAGTCTCACTCTGTAGTTCTACAGTTACAGACTGTAGTCCATCTGTTTCTCTGCATACTCTGTTACCCTGTTCTTCAGTGGTCAGGACCCCCATGGCCCACCCTCACAGAGCAGGTACTATTTAGGTGGTGGATCATTCTCAGCACTGCAGTAACACTGACGTGGTGGTGGTGTGTTAGTGCGTGTTGCGCTGGTCTGAGCGGATCAGACACTGTTATGGCTGATTGATGTGTACTGGATCATTCATTTAGGCCAAATATTCTGTATATTTCAAACTAAATATCCAGAATGCCGGCAAACATGGCTGATCAAATAGCTGATATGAAACGACTATAAACAGATAATTACAGTTTGTTATTTATTAAAAATTTTTGGTGTCCCACTTTATTTGGATAGTCCCCTTTAGATTATCTACAGATGTGCTGATTTCAAACAGTGGTGGGGTTAGGGTTAGGATTCGGGCCAGGGTTAGGGCTAGGAGCAGGGTGAGGGCTGAGTTTAGGTTTTGGGTTGAGGTGAAGGTTAGGGTTAGGATTAGAGCAAGTTTAGAGTTAAAGACAGTTATGGTCAACTTAGTAGATATTTTGTTGAATGTAACTTGAAAGTATCTAAAAGCATCTAAAGTGGACTATCCAAATAAAGTGTTACCACATTTTTTGTCATAACATCTCATTTTTTTCCCCCAAAATCCTTAAATTTTGAAAAAAAAAAATCAATTTATACTCTATAAGCTATTAATATAACAAAGGTTTCCAAACTTTTGAATGCTAGTGTTAATATAAGGCAACATAAGCCAATTAATTGACATTAACAATTAACATCAATTAACACAAATCAATAAATGTCTTATTTTTAATTTATTATTATTTAAAATCTGTTGTTTTAACCATAATGTGTGTGTGAATGTGTCTGTCTGTCTGTCTGTCTGCCAATGACGGCTGGGATAGGCTCCAGCACCCGACCCAGAAGGATAAGCGGTTTAGATGGTTTGTGTATGTGTGTTTTAACCATGTTTTCCTTATGCTTTCATTTCCATTCTGCTTTACTTTGTCACTTTATTACACTGAACACTCACACAGCTGAGATTAGATGTAGCTGTTCAGGATTCTGTGCATTTTCTGTTAAATGTCCACTTTCTGTTGAATAACCTGCATTTAATGACCATTTTGACTGGAAATTAGAAGCGGAAAAATGTGATGTCAGTGATTTGGGCCGTGGCATGGTTATTGGTTTGAGTATTTCTGAGTAGACGGGCTGGTTATAGTATTTCTGTAACTGCTTCTCTTCTAAGGTTTTAATGCTCAACAGTCAACAGCATCACCTTGAACCTAGAACAAGAATCTGAGGCTGCAGTGGACAGATGTTCGCCCAAACCGGACAGTTGAAAACACTCTCCTGGTCTGAAGAATCATGATTTCTTCTGTGACATGCAGATATTTGGCATAAATATCATGAATCCATGGACCCAACCTGCCTTGTGTCAGCAGTCCAGGCTGGTGGAGGTGGTGTAATGGGGTTTTCTCGTTACACTTTGGGCTGCTAATACCAATGAATCATCGCTTGAATGCCACAGCCTGTTTGAGTGTTGTTGTTGACCATGGTGCATGACATTGCACCATCTCACAAACCAAAAGTCTCAAACTGGTTTCATGAACGTGACAGTGAGGTCAGTGTTCTTCAGTGGCCTTCACAGCCACCAGATCTGAATCCAGTAGAACACCTTTGGGATGCGGTAGAACGGCAGCAAAGTGCAGCCGAAAAATCTGCAGGAACACCAACATGGACCAAGAAATGTACCAGCACCTTGTTCAACCCATGTCATGAAGAATTCAGCATGTGTTCAATACATATATATATATTAAGAGAAGCAGAAAAGGCCACTTAACTCAGAGGGAAACAGCCACACACAACATGACAGTGAACACTTCCACACACTGGTCGCATATAAAGGAACGTGATGAAACACAAGCACAATTCAATTACAACAACAACAACAACAAAAACATGTCCACTAGAAGTGTGGGACATGCCGGGAGCTACTTCACATGGCCACACTCCCTAAGCTCCAAGGAATCATGGAGCATGCCACTATACATATATATATATATATATATATATATATATATATATACACAAAAGTTGAGCTACATCATCGCAGGCCGATCCAAAGTGAAGGATCCTTCATATACAGCCTAGAAATGCAGCCTATGTTCTGGGAGATTTCAAGGACGCAACTGATGTATCCTTCCCAGCCTTCGGTTACCCACAGTTCTCTGCGCACAAACGATGCGAAGGAAAAAAAACAGCACCATGAAAATGGCGGAAAACGAAGCCGCTGGAGCAGAACTTGTTTTAAATGTACGTTTTTCACGTCCTTGAATTCGTCTTCGTTACCTTGTAAAGCGTAAAATCATTCGTCCGTGTATCGTATATCATCAGCGTCTCACATTTTATTTAGCAGGATTTGTATATGTGTAGTTTATCATACTACATAATAACATCTCCTCCATTTCCGTGAAGAAATGAAAAAGCAACACACACACAGTATTTTCTCTCACCAGCTCCCTCACAAGTTTCACACCGCTCTGATGTAGCAGCCTCGTTAGGACTGTTCCATTTGTTTGACCAATAGGCTACTAAAGAGGAGTCTTCATAGGACAGTCCTACCGAGGACCCGCACTACCTCGGCTGCAGCCTAGACTCTGCAATGCATCTACATACACACAAACACACACAAACCATCCACCAATAACCATTTCCACATCTCTCTTCGACAAAGTCTAGTGTTTACAGTCACCATCCGAAACCTGGTTGATCCAATCAATGATTTATTGAATTAAATCAGGTGCTGATTGGATGTGGTATGGCTGGAATATTGAGGGAAGTCAGGAATGAACCCTGTGTTCTTCTAACTGTTTTCCTCTAACCTAAATATGCACAGCTTTACTGACAAACAACATATTCTGACTGCTGACCACTGTACTTCCATTGTTTGTGTTTACTCTAATGTTCTGTAGTGTTTTCCTGCCCAGATGAGCAGTTTTAGACACTCTTCTTCACTGCTGAAGATGTTTGCACAGTGCTGCACATACGTAAATGCTGTCGGGGAAAATATTCCTAAAATAGAGTTTACAAAGCCTCGCAGGTAACACAGACAGGGTTCTGTGAGTGTGTTCTGAGTGCGGGAGTGCTGACGTTGGGTCGTCTCTGCAGTGTGATGTTGGGGTCTCGGCGGGACACGGACTGTGTGTGTGTGAGCAGCTGTGTCACACAGCCCATTCATAATCAGCACAGCCTACGGTACAAACGGCAGATGGAGGGAGGGGAGTGTGTCTGGGCGTTTTTCTGAGTTTGGGTTTGCGTTGGTGTGGGGGGTTTAGTTGGGTTTTGGGGTTTGGATGTGTGGGGTTTGGATATATGTGTGGTATCGTGGGAGTGTGGTGGTTTGGGTGTGCATATGCATGTGGAATTTTGATTGTGTAGTGGTTTCTGTGTGTGGTGGGTTTGGGTGTGGTGGTTTGGGTCTGTGGGGGTTTGGATGTGTATATGCGTGCTGAATTTTGAGGGTGTGGGGGTTTGGGTGTGTGGGGGTTTGAGTGTGTTGGTTTGGGTATGTTGGGGTTTGGGTGTGGTGGTTTGGGTGTGTGGGGGTTTGGGTGTGGTGGTTTGGGTGTGTGGGGGTTTGGGTGTGGTGGTTTGGGTGTGGTGGTTTGGGTGTGTGGGGGTTTGGGTGTGGTGGTTTGGGTATGTGGGGGTTTGGGTGTGGTGGTTTGGGTGTGTGGGTGGTTGGGTGTGGTGGTTTGTGTCTGTGGGGGTTTGGGTGTGGGGGTTTGGGTGTGGTGGTTTGGGTGTGTGGGGGTTTGGGTGTGGTGGTTTGGGTATGTTGGGGTTTGGGTGTGGTGGTTTGGGTGTGTGGGTGGTTGGGTGTGGTGGTTTGGGTCTGTGGGGGTTTGGGTGTGGGGATTTGGGTGTGGTGGTTTGGGTGTGTGGGTGGTTGGGTGTGGTGGTTTGTGTCTGTGGGGGTTTGGGTGTGGGGGTTTGGGTGTGGTGGTTTGGGTATGTTGGGGTTTGGGTGTGGTGGTTTGGGTGTGTGGGGGTTTGGGTGTGGTAGTTTGTGTCTGTGGGGGTTTGGGTATGTTGGGGTTTGGGTGTGTGGGGGTTTGGGTGTGGTAGTTTGTGTCTGTGGGGGTTTGGGTATGTTGGGGTTTGGGTGTGGTGGTTTGTGTCTGTGGGGGTTTGGGTGTGGTAGTTTGTGTCTGTGGTGGTTTGCGTATGTTGGGGTTTGGGTGTGGTGGTTTGAGTATGTTGGGGTTTGGGTGTGGTGGTTGGTTTGTGTTTGTGGGGGTTTGGGTATGTTGGGGTTTGGGTGTGGTGGTTTGGGTATGTTGGGGTTTGGGTGTGGTGGTTTGGGTGTGTGGGTGGTTGGGTGTGGTGGTTTGTGTCTGTGGGGGTTTGGGTGTGGTGGTTTCGGTGTGGGGGTTTGGGTGTGGTGGTTTGGGTATGTTTGGGTTCGGGTGTGGTGGTTTGGGTGTGTGGGG